ATATATAATTGCTTTTAAAAACCTCAGCTCACTTCAAACCCAAATTTTGGGAGTAAGAACCAGAATTATTCTCACAGCATTTTGAAGAAAAGCAGCTCAGACAATGCTTGGCAAGCAGCTAGGCTTTGAGCAATTCTCTGAACTTTTCAGCTCTTCATAAAAATTTGCTTTTAAAGAGTCTGCTATCTTTTTCGCAGGAGCTAGGAACTGTATTTCTTTCTTCCATAGAAAAAAAAGGATGCATACCTCTGAAAGGAATGGCATTTAGATAGAAGTAGTGAAGTATTATGATTTTTAGATTTACCTTAAGCCTTAAATTCACCCTGAAGTGTGAAGCTGACTGGTCAGCTGACTAAGATTTGTTTACAGATGACCATTTTCTCCTAAATGATTTTACCAATGGACCTCCTTTCCAATTACAGGGAACAGGAATAGTTTTCATGGCCCATCTAGTGGTTGTAGGCTGAGGTTGCTTGCAGTGGGGTCAATTGGTTCAGACAGCAGATGGGGGTTTTACAGCCAGTGAAAGAGAAAAACCTTGCTTTAAATTGAGCTGTGTAAAACAAACACACTTTCCTGTATTCATCTAATTCTACACAATTTTGGTTCTCAACTCTACAGCCTTACTCAAAGGACATAGGCTTGTAAGTGCTGCCATTATTCTGCCTTAGAAAGGCAAATGAGTCACAAGTAAAATAATTTTGCTGAAATACCTGGCTCAAGTACCATTCCTTCTGTTGTGACGATACACAGCAAATCTGCCACTTCACCCTGGTAGATCGTTGGGCTGTCCGAATGCACCGAGACATTGAACACAGGACCTAGAAAAGAGCAAACGCAATTATTCACGACAGGCTTTTCCTTCAGTATCAAACACCTTTCTTGCATGTTTTCTTGTAAGTATTCTCTGCTAGTTTATGGAAACAGAGCTCTGAAGTAGGGATAAACAATCATTTAAGTTTTTGTCAAGTAGTTACCCATTTTTAGCCAATAAAACCTGTACCAAGACAAAGCACCCAAACCATCAGACCTGTCACCCGACACAGGCTGCTGCCCAAATCTGCCTTCTACTGTCCTACACAAAAGGAGCTGGTCTTCCACTGGTGACTCCTTTAAGAACACAAGAATTCAGGTCTTCAGGCCAATCCAGAACAGATCTTTTTGGTGAGGAATTCATTTAAAGCAAACTAGTATTTTAACAATACTAGTGGTTCTGCTCTGGAACTGAAACACTGACAATACAAGTAATGCATCTGGTAATACTTTTCTGTGGGTTTTCCTTCAGGCTCTGACACAGATAGCTTCTTCTGTAAAAGATGTCTCAAAGCCCGAGGGTACAGTAACTTCTTCAGTTGCAAAGTGGTGATCATATCGATGAAAAGCATTAGGCTGTTACAAAGTACTCAGACACAATGATAACATCATGGTGTTTGACTTTTGAGGTACATAAATTAAAAAACAAAACTTCCCCAGATTTTGACAGCAGCTACATCTCTGGTGCAAAAGTAACAAAATGCCAACATCGCTAGTACTCTCTATTTCACAGGGCAGAAACTGAAAAAATACCTTTAGCGATTTCTCTGCTATACAAGATGAAGGCGATGGGTAGAAGGAAAGCTGATGCCAATGGTGACCTCTAGGATGATTTTGGGGAAAATGGACAGGGAACCCAAGAAGAAACTTGAGACTCAGATTAAATAGTAACCCTTTTTACCCTCCCTAGACTCCCTTAGCAGCTATCATTACCTGGCTCAGCTATCTACCTCTGGGACAGCAGCATCAACAACAAGCACAGAAAAAAGGTGTGGGAGGAAAGAAAAGCTGTTGGAACATTTCCTCTCTCCACTCTTACATGATATTGTTTTAGCACAGGAACCAAAAATTTCAAATCCACTGAAGATCAAGGAGAACATTTAAGGAAATCACCCAAGGCAACCCACTTGCCCGTTACCTTCTCAACAGGTTTCTGTGGAAAGTTATGCTGATAGCTCACCACACTGCACACACTTATCATATCATTTCCAAACTGAGGTTCTGGGAAGAAACCTGCATGTGTCAAGAATCTAGAGCTATAATTTTTGGTGAAACTATTTTAGATTACAAGGACCTGGTGTGTTTTGGTCAGCAGAGATTATACAGCATACTAAGAAAATAATTCAAATTACAACGCAAGAATTACTTCTCTGGCTTTCAAAATTCCCCCCACAATTTCCACTGGACACAATGTGCTCCCCTTTGGTATGCCGTAAGTTTCTTACAGCCTTCCTCTCTGCCCCAGAAGCAGTTGCACATTGTACACAAGGGCAGTATGAAGACACGTAAGCCGAGAGGTTTGCACCCATTTTGACACTAGAAGACCTCCCTATTAAAAATTAAGGTTGCAAGCAAGCAAGGATATAAGAATGGTAGAGATGCAATAGAGGTTACGTGTGGACTACCAGTCAAGACTGCTACATGTTTATACTAGAACATATTTAAGGAAATAAGAGATCCAGAACACTGTTCAGCTGTTCACTTCCAGATCCAGTTCAGCTGTTCACTTCACAAGCAGGCTGCAGCCCTAACTTAAGCTCAGCATGATAGGATCCTTTTCTGGGGAAATGAACAGACATTAATCTGATTGCTTCCTCAGCATCTATCCAAACTGTTTCTGTGTGAATTCAATTTGTTTCCTGACATTCACACATACACACGCCAAACTGTATTTCCTTGCAGCCTATTTGATTATTCGCCTTCAGATAAAATAAGACATTTTCCATCCTTTTCTTTGGAGTCATGTAGACAGAAGTTCAAGGTCTTAGGGGATTAAAGGCAGCTGGGACCAGGGCACTCCAGCCAACTATAACCAGAAAAGTCTCAAGTTGTGTGTGGACTGTCAAAGCAAAAGAAACAATCCCAGCACATTCCCTCTGCTGCTCTGATCAAAGGCAGAATAGCACTGTAGTAATCCTGATACTGTCCATAGCTCAGGGGCTATCCTAAGTCCCTGCAGCAAGTGAGGTGACATCATGTCAGGAATATGGGACATGCTCTACTCCAGCAAACAAGCTCTGTCCTGGCTAGATGCCAGGAGGGATTGAGCAAGAAAGATGAACGGTATGATTCCAACTTTTTCAAGCTAAGGGTGGACTACGTTACCCCTGTCCTGGGAAGTTTAACAAAGAAAGACAGAGGGTACAGACAGACAGGAGTTTCAGGCCTTACGTCTAGGTTGAAAGTCCAGGCATCTAATGCATTCAACAGACACTGCCACCGCCTTCAAACCTTGGCATGCCAGCAAACCACTAATGCAGAGCTGAGTCGAAGCACTCCAGGCCACAGGAAGTCACAAGGGTAAAAGTTAAGCTTATTTGGTCACTCAGCCAGGAAAGGCCATGCATCATGGTAATGCCACACTCCCCATGTACTCCTCAGTTCTGGGTCACCAAGCACATCTCTACTCTGCCTCCCACATGAAGAGTCAAAATTTCCTGGGCAGAAAGTGCAGCTGCTGCCTAGCAGTCTGTCATTTCATGATCATCCTTCCCCTTCACAAGACACAAACCGTTCTTTCCCTTTGGTTATTTCCTCCTTACATTGCAGGGTACATCTCCTGCAAATTAGCATTTGTACCTCCAGGGAGAATGTGAAGGCACACAGCTGGACTGAAGGCCTCACAAATGAGAACAACATTGACCTTGAGGAGATAAGTCTGCACCTGTGAGACTGACAAGGTTGAAAACATGTCTTGAGAAAGGATTGTAAAAAGATGATTAGTCTACATGCGTGAGAATAACGAGGCAAACATCCTGAGAGGAGTGAAGATGTTGATAAGAAGAGAACATTTTGGGGTAGTTAATGTGGGCACATATAAACAGATGTCAATAAGAAGAGAACATTTCGGGGTAGTTAATGTGGGCACATATAAACAACTGTTAACCAATAATTTAAGCATTACCACATCACTGACCAATAGGTAATTAACACTGTGTGTGCATGGGGTGTGAAAAACTGTATAAAACAAGCACTGTAGAGATGGTGAAAAAAATTGAAATTAACGTTTTGCTATCACCACAGATCCTGTGTCTTGACCATCTCTACCATTCACAGTGACGTCTGCAACAAGAGAAATCACTGTCCTGTGTTAGAACTGGATTTCAACAGGGTCAAGAGAAGTGTCAAAGGTTGTGCTCCTCTC